TTTAATCGAATTTTTGCACAAGGTATCTTAAATGAAATTTGAAGAGTTGACACCTAAATAGTACACATTTACTCGTTGGTTAAGCAATTTTTTAACGCTGTAAGCACGATTTATATATCAAAAAACAATGTTTTGGTGTTTATCTACAGACGGGCCCAGCACAGCCAGTCAGTAGGTAGCGTGCCAGATTGTTAAGCTGAGATACTGTGGTTCGCGTTCTGTTAGCGAAAAAAGAAAAGGAATAGCGTTCTACACTTTGAGGCCTTGGTTGCGTTATAAGAGTGACGGTCAAACCCCACTATTCGGTTTGGAAAAGAGTTGGCGGTTTGTGGAGTTGACTATCCAACCTTCCTTCAGTCTAGTACTTCAAAATTAGAGACAGTTAGCTCGGACAACCAGGAACGTAGCGAGCAAAAGGGGGATATCGCACCCCCATTAGTAATTTGTAAGCACAAATATAACTTCCTGTACATTATATCGTAAAATTTGTATCCATCTTTTCATGTGAAAATCTCGGAGAAAAATAAATAATTTCTTGTTGTGACGATTTTTTTTTCGGTAAACAACGAAAATGCTGAGAAAAATTCGGCAGATCTTCTACAAAAGGAGGTAAAACGCCCTTCAGAGCGCGCTATTTTGTCGGCAAAATTCAGTCATAACATCAACCCCAAATATAGGGACTTCGTTTCGCCCCTGCGGACAACCCTGGTGTAGTGTTGCGCGAAAATTCAATAAACAAACAAAGAAATGAGTGTGACTACTGTACAATGCCGCAAACATCATGTGAATAAGTTCGAAGTGTGCTTCATGAAGCGAGGTTTCGTCCTATTACCTGGAAAATGAACTGTTCTTCAAACTTTGGATTACACGTTTTCTTCGCCACTTTTGTTTGAAGGTAACGACGTTCATCTGGAAGCAGGAAAATTCTAGAAAGAAAATATGAAATATGGGTTGTATTATAAACGAAATTTGAGTAACTATTAGATTCTGTTAAATGTTTCGACTGATATAAACATCATGCATATAATATACTAAACATTATTTATGAAATGGATTTATGAAAATAAAGATAGACGAAACATCGTGCATAAATTAACATACGATACATTTTGACCTTTTTTTTACTGTTGTTGTAGTTACTACTAACCAAGTTTATTGGGGAAAGTTACCTCCAATACTGACAGACTTGCAACTGAAGTCGCGCGCTGTGCAGTGCTTTATTTAGGTCAAGCGAGTTTACTCGTTGCTATAGCAACTGTCGGAAGAAAACAAGTTAAAACCACTCTGCAAACAAAAACAAAAGTACTTCAAAGTCAAAGCTATCTTATTATTCGCCAACAAAGGGAATTAATTTGTGAACAGTGTAAATACTACACGCGAAAGCAGGTTAACACGAGCTAGCTGTGTTTGAAGCTGAATGCGTGCAGTTTTTCTCGAATAGTGTAAACTTTGAGATATATTACTTTGTTACGTAAAGTTTAATTTGATTAATTCAGTATTTTACGGTTGGTGGCTTTAGACCATTTACTAGTTAACGCCACACCACGACAAACAAAATGTAAATCTCCTCCCCCCGAATAATTTAATTTTTACAACAGAGAATCCTAAAACCGTATCTCATTCTATACGTTTGTGTTTTTCGAGCATTCGTTATTATTTAATTTCCCTTGGTGAAATAATTTAGTTGATAGTATAGCAACCTAGCACAAAGAACTGTATATAAAAAACAGTTGCAACCAAAAAGCTTACAATTAATTAATTTAGCTTTGCAGTTATTTACAAAGATATAACCATAGCAACATCTATGTCAACAACTTCACTAAAAGGCGAACTGATTTCATTCACGTGACAATCTACGTAATAAGGGAAGCTGACGTCTTTCACGTTACTGTTTCATTATAAGATGAGCAGATATCTTTCATTTGACGACCTATACAATAAGGTAATCTGATTATTTTTTTACATGACTATTTTTATTATAGGGCAACCTGATTTATTTCACGTGAGTATCTACACAATAAGGCAAGCTGACTTCTTTCACGTGATCACGTGAGGATAAACACTACACAAAATGTGTGGTATATGGACCAAGATCCTTTTTAAGTCTGCTGGTATGCACCACAGTATGTACTTAAATCAATGATCGTTGTGTCTCATATTATAGCTCATTATTTTAAACTTTATTATATTGATTTGTTTAGTTTATATAAAATATTCTATCACTGTCTACAAACAGCTGTGGTCTATTATCATTCACCTAATTTACAGTTCCTTCATAATAATGGCTGGAGACGGCTTGAATGGGTAATGAAGAAAAACTTTAATATAAGTTTAACATAACAGCAAATGTACAACGTTTCGACAAGGTTTTGTCATCATCAGGTACCTTGTCGAAATTACAGTTCCTTCATTCTGAGTATAGTGTCATTCAGCCAACGCCGGGTTCCGATTTCCAGCGATACACAACAAGAATATTTAAATTATAATTAATACAAACATATTCAGGTTGGTCAGGTAGGTTTCATTTCTGCATTCTAAATATAACTTTCGGAACAAGGCTATTATTATTATTTGTAACATCGAATTAGGAAAATAAAAACTGACAAAACAAAATACTTCAGAAGATGATGTCACCCGCCCTTCCCCTTGATTCAATGAATTGAATTCTATATACCTCACAAACGGATCACAGCAGTTGACGGATCCCAGCGTCCTCGAAGGAAAGTTCTTGCCTTTGATTAGCTGTAGAACGAGTCTTTCTTTAACAGCATCATATTCTAAACTGAACCAAAGACGCCCTCTATGGTCATCTGGGAAGATAAACTCCTCTCCAGTGTCGTTGTGGCAAACTTTGTATAGTTCCGGGTTCAATCCACCAAAGAGAGAGGATTCTAATGATTAGGATTATTGCGAGTTATGCACTGTTATTAGAAATTATAACTTTATTAAATCACATGAAAAAATAACGCACTTCTAACATTTAAATAGCAGCTTGACTCACAATGGAGGAGTTTCCCTTTAAAAACACTCTATAGCAATCCACAATAAGGTAGTGCTTCAGAAATAAAAGAAAATATTCTTATCGTTTACAGATAACACAACATTACAAATCAATGTAACAAACAGATTTTTGTATACCAAAAATCTTATGTATAAAATACGGTGTTTTTCATATTACTTCCTGTTCTCGATACAATGTTGTAGTTTATCCAGAATACTAATATAATGCACATATTATGAAATGTAAAAAAACAACTAAAATATAAATTCTAGCTTACCAGAAGGATCAGATGTTCCACTGTCGATCAAGGAGAGTCTGGACCACAAAATGGCGTCCGGGGAAGAACCAGACGATAAAGACGCTTCTCCCGGGCTGTGCTGGACAGGAAGAGACATAGTGGGAACAACGAAATCGATTGGCCGCTCTTGCCTAAACGTTGCAAAAAAAAGTGAAAATATTAAATATTTATTTTTAATCACACACAGTTAATATTAATGAACTCTTTTATTTCTTACAGTTCAAAAGGCGAGAACTTTCGAAAAACTTCAGTGAAAGTACCATAACCCGGGGCAGATATGTTTCTATGGAAACAACCCCATCTGACACAAATCTGCCATTATTTAGAAGTTTTCACCATTAAAAGAAGAATCATATCTTATTTTTCTGGATGTGTGATATTTTCTAAACATTTATACAAGTTTGTGTTTAGGCTTCATAGACAAATCTACAGATCAAGGTTTATCTTTAACAACACCTTTATTTTCACAATATATGGTTTAACTTGTTACAGTTCTGACGTTATAGCATACTAACCCTCTTATATTACACCGTTTTTGTTGATACTATAGAGCTCTAAACGTTATTAGAGGATTGCAAGACACTGCTTACGCCGAATACTAATTCTTCATTGTCATGATATAAAGGACTGTTTAGTTTAGATATTATTGATTAACTTATTTTTGTGAGTGAATATTTTATTATTTTTAGTTTTTGTTATAATAAGAGTTAAAAGCAGACGATTGTAGGAAGTTATGTTTATAATTCATTGATGTTGAGACTATCGAACGTCGCGTGCAATACACTGACGTCGAGAATATAGAGATTTCTAGAAGGCGGACAGATGATTAAGTGATAAAGATATAAATAGTGTGAGACGAGCGAAAACAGCAGACACACAATAGCAGAAGAGAGTAAAGTTACAGACAAGGAAAAGTTCGGCGTGAAATAAACTATAGTTGAAGTGATAGGCCTAACGATTGATTTAGGCATAACGTTTAATATGTTGAATAAGACTAACAGTAGAAAAGTAGATAAGAAGAATAGTTATTCCGTCAAAGCGTGGTTCTAAAGTAAATGAATCAGGCTAAGTGCACTTTGACAAAAGGAACATAGGATATTTTGAAGAAAGAAGACCAAACGATTGCGGTAATTCGCGCCACAATTGTAAGTAAATCACACACAGAATACTAGTCCGATAGTAATAGAGAAAATAGTTCGGCATGTCAACTGAAATTCTAAAGTAATTGAATAGGCCTAAGTGGACTTTTGACAAGAAGAAGAGAACTATATATATATATATAGT